AGAAGTAAAGTATTGACACATGCCATAACATGGATGAAACTTATAAACATCCTAAATGAAAGAAGCCAACCACAAAGGACCACATTCTGGATGACTGCACTTAAATGAAGTGTCCAAAGTAGACAAATCTAGAGACATAAAGTGAATTAGTCCTTGACTGGGGCTGGGTGGAATGGCAGGGGTTGAGGGAGAGTGGTTGGTGATGGCTAAAAGGTGCAGAGTTTCTTTTTTGGGATAATGAAAGTGTTCTAAGAGTGAATGTGGTTATGGTTGCTCAACTTTGTGAATATCCTGGAAACCACTGAATTGTACACTTTTAATGAGTGAATTGTATGGCATGTGAATTATATATTAATAAAGCTGTAAAATAAAAGAATGCTATAGGGGTGCCTGGGTGGCTCAGTTAGTTAAGCGTCTGCCTTCTGCTCAGGTCCTTATCCTAGGGTTCTGGAATTGAGCCCTGCATTGGGCTCCCTGATCAGCGAGAGTTTGCTTCTCCCTCTGCCCCATCCCCCGCTTGTGCTAGCTCTCTCTCTGTCAAATAAATAAAATCTTTTAAAAAGAGAGAATGATATGTAAATGGAATCTTACAATATGAAACCCCCACCCTACCCTCCCTGTGACTGGTTCTATTGTTGTTAAACAGAAGTTTGGTCCCAAGGAAAATATCTGTTACCAGAAGTAGTAGATATATAAAATATATACAGTACAGAGAAGTGTGTATAAAGATATAATAGCTGGACATGACAAGAGGCAATTGGGCATAATCAAAAAGGAGGGAATTAATCCTTGCTCTTTGAGGAGTCTGGGCAGCATTACCATTCATATACAAAAGTAATTTAGGTGGATCTCTTTTCCAGTCTACTCCAAGGATGGAATTTCTCAACTCTCTCTGAGCTGAAAATGGGAAGGATAAAAACAAGCTGTTTCAGCTCAATTCAGATAAGATAGATTTTTATTGGAAAAGAAATCCAGTGGCAATGACAGCAATACACAAACACACTGAGCTTTACAATATCAGTTGCTTCTAGATTCCCAGATAAAAACTATGGACAAGAGAGCCTCTCTGTACTTGGCACAGAGATTGAACACTCTCCTTTCATTGTACACTAGATCATTACAAAGCTTTCTACTAGGCAAACCATGTCTGTAGACCTTATATAATTCTTCTCTGATTGATATAAAATGACTTGTTCATTTATGGAATGCTGTCCCTTGATCAGCATTGTCATGATTTTTCACCATTGGCAGTCAGTAGAAGTAAACTTGATTTGGTCTACATATCACTGTATGATACAGTTTCAAAGCTAGAAATTTGGGAACTAAAATTTTAAAAAAGAACACCTAAGAGCAAATCCTTTAATGACTTCAAAGTACAAGAACTCTCAATTTCCTGAAATACACAGCTTATTTGCATGTATTTAATCTCTCTTTGAGAAAGAGAGTTAGAGAAGGAGTGAGGAATGGAGAGAGGGATTGGGGCTGGGAGGGAAAAAGTGAGGGAGAGGAACAGAGATAGGGAGGGAGAGAGATTGAGCTGTCAAAAGTTATTGTGATTCTTCTGACTCTGGGTTCTCTTCCATTGTGTATCACACTTTCACTGTAGAACAAATCTACATGAGTAATTAATCTTTAACTGACTAAACAAACTCTCTTCCACAGGGCCATACGTTCTCTGACATTAGAGAAATCAACTACAAAAAGACATATTTCACCAATGCAGCATTTCATAAATGTTTGGATAGAGTTCATTCTCTAAACCTGGGGTTGGTAAACTTCTGCAAAGGACCAGACTCCAAATATGTTTGGCTTTGTGGGCCAAAAGGTCTCCGCTGCAACTGGTCAACTCTGCCACTGTAGCCTGAACATAGCGATAGGCACTATGTAATGGAACAAGGGTGACTGTTCCAAAAATATTTATGGACATTAAAACTTGAATTTCATAGGATTTTCAACTGTCAAGAAATATTTTTCTGTTGATATTTTTTCAAAAAAAGTTTCTTAGGTTTACAAGCTGTACAAAAACAGATGAAGGGCCAGATTTGGCCTATGGGGCTTAGTTTGCCAATCATAGTCTAAAGTGATAGAAGAGTAGAAACATCAAGTCTCTCATGAAGAGATGGGTTTGAGTATTGGATTTGCCATTCCCTAGCTGTGTGACCTTTGATAAGTTATCTGACTTGCTTAAAACAGTGTATAGTAATAGGTATTCCATAGAATTGTGAAAATTACGTGAAGTACCAAATGCATGTTTAGCATATGCAAGGTCACAGTGAGTACAGTTACTACTATAATGAGAGTCTTTAGGAGTGCCACAAAGCCTTCATTTTCTCCAAACCTCTGTCCCACACTGAAATTTATAGCAGGATTTTTATTTTTAATTAAGACAGCATATATCAGGCCCAATCTTAGAGTCATCCTGGAGTCCTTATTCTCTCACCTTTCCCATTCAATTCATCAGTAAATCACATCTGCTCCACACTAGAAATTTTTAAAAATTTTTTTATTTTTAAAATTTCTTTTCAGTGTTCCAGAATTCATTGTTTATGCACCACACCCAGTTCTCCATGCAATATGTGCCCTCCATAATACCCACCACCAGGCTCACCCAACCTCCTACCCCCTGCCTCTCCAAAACACTCAGATTGTTTTTCAGAGTCCACAGTCTCTCATGTCCACACTAGAAATTTATCTAGAATTTGACCACTTCTCTACAGCGATCCATGCCATAGTCAACTTTCACCTCATCTTTCTGCTCTGATACTTGCCCCCAGATGGCAGCATTTTTCACAGAGATGCTATTAAAATATATCCTCCAATCACTTCTTTCCCCTACTCAAATGTCTCTGATCATTCACTCCTAGGAAAATTCTAGGTTCTTACCAAATAAGCCCTCAGATCTCCTACACTCTTCCCTTTACTCCCTCAGCCCCAACCATAATGGCCTTACTATTCTTCAAATATGCCAATCTTGCTCTTTTTTCCCACCTAATATTTGTTGGCATTTCTTTCTGGAATGTTCCTTCCCCAGATAACCAAGTGTTTTCAATTTTACTACTTCTTTCAGGTCTATGCCCAAATACAACATTGTTGGAAACACATTCTGTTACTCCTTAATTCTATTTTATTACTTGGTGATTGCACTACTACCTCCTGCTATATTTCATATTTATTTGTAGATTGAATCCCTCCCCCACGGGAATGTAAACTTACAAAAGCAGACTTTGCACATCTTGTTCACAATTATATCCTCAGTGTGCAGAACATTGCCTGGCACAGAGTAGTTTCAAATCTGTTGAGTGAATAAATAAATGAACTTTGGCTACTTTAAAAGATTTTGAAAAATGAGAGCTTTTGAGTATTGTTCTTACATTGATTTAGAATATATGTTTGAAACTGATGGCTACTGGATGGAGGGATGGGTTAAATGGTTGATGGGCATTAAGGAGGGCACTTGTGATGAGCACTGGGTGTTGTATGTAAGTGATGAATCACTAAATTCTATACCTGAAACTAATATTAACTGTATGCTAACTAACTGGAATTTAAATAAAAACTTGGAAAAATTTAAACATAAAAAATATATGTTTGGCCACATATAAATGATAGCAGTTTAATGAGAGTGAAGTTAATTTCTTTATTATCTAGGATTCTGGAGGTAGGTGTTTCAGGGCAATTCTCTATGAGGTGGTCCAGGTGACCAAGCTTCCCCTACTTTGTTGCTCATGATCCCAAAAGAGTACTGTCTTTGTCTGAATGGTCCAAGGTAGCTCTCCTTCGAATGTATGTTCTAAGCAAGAGGAGGAAGGAAAGAGGAGGAAGTCCACACATAGACTTTACTTAAGGACACTTTCTATAAATCATACAAAACATTTCCATTCACTTCTCTTTTAAAACTTAATCACATGGAGCCTGCTTCTCCCTCTACATCTGTCTACCACTCCTCCTGCTTGTGCCCTCTCTTTCCTCTCTGTCAAATAAATAAATAAAATCTTTTTAAAAATTTTAAAAAAGCTATTTTGAGATAACTGAGACATTTTCCCAAATTTTCTCCTAAAATAAAAAATAGAGCAAGAAACTGAGAGAGAAACACAAGTTTGTATTTTTAAAATTTAATAATTTATTTTATTTGGACTTTATTTTTATTGATGTATAGTTACATCAACCCAAACCTCTAGCACTGGAAACCAGATATTAACATTTTTTATGTATTTTCTTTTCAGGTATTAACATTTTTAAAAACTTTCTGGGTTGATTCTAGTATGCAAACAAGATTGAGCACAAATACTTTATTTAACCATAAAATAAAGTTACATATACATACACACACAAAAAAATAAATAAAACTTAATCACATGACTATGCCCAAGGGCAGGAAGTGGGGAATATGTAGAGTTTATTCTGGGGGGCCATTTCCCCAACTAAAAATCAGTGCTATATTTCTATAAGGGAAAGAGGGCAAATAAATATTGGGGGAAACTAGTCTTGCACAGTTCTCTATATTTTTCTTACCCTCATTCCAAAAAATGTAGCCAAGTTGAGGAGGCTCTCCCTACAGCCCCACTTCTTGGCCCAAGTGTTGGACAGCCAGTCTGGGCTATTGATATTCTTTTGCTAGAGTAAGATGCCAGTACATTGTCTTCTAGTTGAACCAAATTTATCAATTGAATTGATAATCATTTTTCTCAGATCTATTTTCTAAGAAAATGAAAGCATCTTCTGAATCTTTGAGACTACCCATCCTGGTTTCCACAACATGGTATCTGATATCCATTGAAATAGTCATTCAGGACTAGCTTAATGGATTTATGACCTGTGTAGTCATGCAGAGCCCTGCACTAGGCTAATGCTCTCTCATCTCCATCTTGAAATTCTTTATATTATCTTAGAATTTATCCTTTTGTCAGTGAAGTTCAAAGGGATAATGCAGCAGGTCCCTGAGCAGAGGTAGGTGTACATGTAACATGCAAGCAATTCCTTGCTACCCTGTCTATATATAGCATTGAAATGCCCATGAGGACAGAATTTCAGTGGACATGTGATGGAGAGGAATTCAGTGAGACTCAAAGCAAGTACAAGGTAAGCCCCCCCCCCCTTTTAAAAGATTTTATTTATTTATTTGAGAGAGAGGGAGAGAAAGAAAGAGAGAGAATATGAGTGGTGGAGAGGGGGCAGAAGCAGAGAGAGAGAGAAAGAGAAGCAGACTCCCCACTGAGCAGGAAGCCCAACTTGGGGCTGGATCCCAGGACCCGGAGATAATGACCTGAGCCAAAGGTAGATGCTTAACTGACTGAGCTACCCAGGTGTCCACAAGGTAAGTGTCTTGACTGAGCTACCCAGGTGTCCACAAGGTAAGTGTCTTGACAGAGTGACAGGTAGCAACCCCTAGGTCCTTCTCCTTCCTTATTAATCCTTCCTTACTCATTAGTAAGCTAAAAGTAGAGAGTGTTGACAGAATATGCACATATCAAGAAGTGAAGTAAAAACAGTTGAGTTAATTTTATACAGTTTCTACCCTTCTGATAAGAACAAAATATGTAGGCATGAGCAAACTTAACAAAATACAAATTGTATGAGTTCAATAATTCCTCACACAAATTAAGTACTCTCATATTTGCATTTAAAACTAGCTATGCACACTATAAAGATGAACAGTAAAATTCACACTAATAATTATAAATTTTAATTTTTCTTTACATAAAAGACACGTTAAGTAGCAAATAAAAGCACTATTACACATCAAGAGAAAGACCACAGAAGACCAAAAGAGATGAAATGGAAAATAACACAACCCTGTCCATATCAAAGGGCATTTCACAGCGATGGTATTACTCTTCCTTAAGTCTCTCTTCTTTTTATGGTCATTTTGTCCCCATCTGAAATGCCTATGTGTCTCTAAGTTCTAGTGCCTTGAATTGAGAGCTGCTTTCAAATGTTCTGGCCATTCCCAAGCTCTGTAATGCATCCAAATCCAGTAGTGTATTACCTTCCATCACTTTTTTGTTTCACCAGGAGTTTGTTTATCTCTAGATGCAACATTTGTCCCATTTCCTTGCTTACTTTTCTATATGACGATTATAATGGAAATATTTAAAATTATCAGATCTTTGTACAGGACATTCCATTTCCAAGTCTGAACTATGAGCCTAATCATCCAGGGAAGGAGAAGCAGACAGGTACCATGCAGAGAAGCCATTGTACAGCTTCATGTCTCAGGGATGACTTCTTTTTTCTGAGGACAGAGAGAGAGAGGTGAGAGAGGGAGATGCAAGTGAGTGTGAGATAAATACCAGACTTTTTCAGAGAGAAAAGAACTTTATTATTTTATTATTATTTTTAAAGATTTTATTTATTTATTTGACAGACAGAGATCACAAGTAGTCAGAGAGGCAGGCAGAGAGAGAGGAGGAAGCAGGCTCCCCACTGAGCCGAAGGCAGAGGCTTTAACCCACTGAGCCACCCAGGTGCCCGAGAAAAGAACTTTAAAAATTAATTCTATTATTTGTGAATATATGAGAAGACCAATTATTACAAATTACCTGGGCAAGAAAGTCTTACCCTGATAGAAAATAAGGAAGGAAAGCCTGCCTTTCCTGGCTATGGTAGTTTAAGAGAAGAAGGAAGGTTATGGAGGCAGGTCAAATATTCTAGGGCATTTATCTTAAGGTTTTCTAGGAAAGCATCCTAGTTGGAAGTAGGGAGACTCCAGACTCTCTCTCTACCCCTATCCCTTGCCTTCCTTTCTCAGTGTGGACTCAAGAAAGTGATAAATCTCTTCAGCAGGGTTTAGCCCAAGTTCATTTCTCTTAAACTCTGGAAAATCTCAGCAGTCCCTGAAAGTCCTTTGACTGTCCAAGATTCTGCATGGATGAGGGTCCCAGGACTTGTAGCTACATGTATCAGAGCTTTGTTTCTCTTCTGGTGTGTTAGTGGGTAGGATAAGTAATGTAACCTTTATATTAAATATTCAGTTGTAATGTAACCCTTATATTAAATATTCAGGAGAATACACTAATAAGACTAACAGGTTAGTAAGAGGGCTATGTATGTTTGGAAATTGTTTTTCATAGATAATTGATATGTTAAACAGTTATGTTGCTCACTGTAAGGTTGTTTCCATTCAAACAAATGAAGATTTTATTCTATTTTCACTTTTTTTTCTTCTACATGATTTTGAAAGTTACTCTGCCCTGAATTGGTTGCTGCTATTGAACTGTTCAGTAGACATTAGTTTGCAATACACACCTAAAATATAAGTTTAAGGAAGTCTGAATAGGGGCACCAGGGTAGCTCAGTAGTTAAGCGTCTGCCTTTGGCTCAGGTCATGATCCCAGAGTCCTGGGATCGAGCCCCACATTGGGCTGCCTGCTCAGCAGGGAGTCTGCTTCTCCCTTTCCACTCCCTCTGCTTGTGTTCCGTCTCTTGCTGTATCTCTGTCAAATCGATAAATAAAATCTTTAAAAAAATAAAAGAAAGTCTGAATATATTTTGATTTAAGCATGTAGTGAATGCTGTGATGGGTGATTGAGGCAACCACCCCCTACTTACCCCTCCCCCCGCCGCCAGCTCTCAGCTAAACCCTTTCTGGGAATTGCTCTTAGCCAAAAGGAGCCACTCTACCTTCCTTCCTGGAATAGTTCACAGTAGAGAACTGGAAATGTGGGTCCATCCTGACCAACACCCTTGCCTCCCAACACCCTTGCCTCAAGGCAGGACTATACTTTACAGGCCTTCTTAGCTCAGAGCTCCCTCTAGGACTGGACTACATTTCAGCTTCTCCCTCTGCTCAATCCTATTTCTTCCACTTTCCCTACAGGTGTTGAGTCCTCATGGCACTCATCAGAAATTAACACACGTGTTTCTGTCAGAGTTCTTTCCCAGGGAAACTGACCATCAGATTTTGAAGACCCAGATTTGAAGAACTGTCCTATTAATATTTTAGTATGTTTTTTATGTCACTCAGAGGACTATTTTATTTACCTGATCTCAGGAAGAGATAATTTTTGGTTGATCTTTTTGTTTGTTTCACATCACAATAGAAGAGTATTTTTGGAAAATGTGAAAATAAATAAAACTCAGAACTCCTAGTTTTAAAATGTGTTGCCAGTGTAATCTTATATTTAGAAAATAAAAGATGTTATGTGTGTACTGTTTCTCTTTTATTAACTTTTAAAAACAAAGCAACAAACATTAAAATAATGATTTGTGAAGAAAAGAGACAGAACTAAAAATAAAGTAGAAGAATTGGTAGCAGTTATCTGAACTTTATCACTCATCAAGTTCAATTATGGAAAATACTTCATATATAATAATATAATATATATTATATAAGTATTATTTTCTAAGATTGTAAGGTTCTACCATGCTTTATAATTTAACTCCAGGTTGGGAAAGTAACTAATGAAATACTGAAATATTGAGTATTTAAGGTCCTCTTTCTTCATACAAGTATATTTAATTTCACACTATATCATGAGGTAAGCATTATTGTCCCAATTTTATAGGCAAGAGCACCACTTTCAGAAAAATTAAGTAGTTCTCCTAGATCACTGAAACAGTAAGTGGTGGAGCCTGAATTTAATTCAGCTTTGCATCGTTTTAGGATTCTTGTCATGATCTAACTCTATAGTACATTTCTAAACAAAAGAATAGCCGGGTTGGACCACAGAGTCTGGTTCCAAATAAACAGTGGGAAAGAAAGTAGCTTTTATTTAGGTTTGCCCTAATAACAAAGTAGAGAAGATATTCTTGAGGTAAGCATTCCAATGGGTGGACCCAACAACCAGGGCCTCCTTTATTTTTCATGGAGACACACTAGAGGTCTGGTGGGCTAAGCAAGCTGTGAGATATCTGTCAGGTTGGAGGAGCATAGACCTGTGTGCCTGTTGCTTTTACATCAGCCATGTCAGCATTCAGTAAGCATGAACAACCTATGCAACTATTTACAGCAATAATTCTGAAATCATGTTAAGGTTCTGAGCCTTGAAGTTCTCTGCCAGTAACGGCCATTGTGCCTTTACCTCACTCAGGCTCTCAGGGCATGGATATTTCCACATGTTTGCTTGGGCTGGCTTGTCCATGGCCTCCCTCAAGAAGGCAGAACTCCTAATCATTTGGCAAAACTGTCACCACAGTAACAACAATTCATATACCAAATGTAGCATTTGCATAAATAAGTGACCTAAATTACACACAGCAATAAATTTCAGTACTCGAAGAGAATTTACCCATAAAAGATTCAAATACATTAACCAGTCACAATGGCCCAGTTCTGAGGTGAAAAATGCACATAACGGAGAAGTTTTAAACTTTAAAATAACACAATATTACGTGATTCCAGCTACAGAAAAAAAGTTGTGAATAAGTTTAGATTACCCAATCTAGAGTCTAGTCAACATAAAGTGGGGATCTGAGGCAAATGAGGACAGAAAAGAAGTGTTATCTTTGTACTGTCTTTCATAATTTCATATATAATTGTGTTTTATACATATATAATTCTACCTCTTACCTTTAGAGATAGTAAGAACTAGAACAGTTTGGATCACTTAGATAATCTAGTTTTTTAAAAAACAGGGTTTTTTTTTTTTTACATATAATTAATAGATAAAGAACTGCACATACTTAACGTGTACGATTTGATGAGTTTGGACATGTGCCAACACCTGTGATACCATCCCCACAATGAAGCTAATAGGCATATCTATCATCTCCCAAATTTCCTTGCGTCCCTTTGTTTTTGTTTTTTCTGGGAGTTGTTGTTTAATGGGTATAAAGTTTCAGTTATTCTAGATTAATAAGCACTAAATATCTATTTTACAATATAGTGCCTATAATTAACAATATGGTATTGCACATTTCAAAATATGCCTTCTTTTTCTCTTTCTTTTTAAGGAATTTTATTTATTTATTTATTTGACAGAGAAATCACAAGTAGGCAGAGAGGCGGGCTGAGAGAGATGGGGAAGCAGACTCCCTGCTGAGCAGAGAGCCTGATGCCGCAGGATCCTAAGACCATGACCTGGGCCAAAGGCAGAGGCTTAACCCACTGAGCCACCCAGGCACCCCAAAATATGCCTTTCTTAATTCACTATGTCAAGAAGGATAGAAGAATATATATCTTTGAAGCCCATCTTTTTTATTTCTATTCCTGAAAAGGAATTAAGAGGGGCTCATAGTAAATAACAGAACAAAAAATGATTATTTGTATCTAAAAATATTCCCTAGTTATAAAAGTAATATATATCATATAGAAAGTTGGGAAAATTTTGAGGAACATAAAAAGACAATAAAGATTGCTCGGATTCTAATCACCAAAAGACAATTATTTTAATGATTTAGTGAATTTCTTTCCTTCCTACTTTCCAATTAGAGTAGGTAATACAGTCATATAATTCAAAAGTCAAAAGAACGAAGAGCATTCCCCAGTCACATAGGCATGGCAGAGTTCTTTCACCTAGAAGCAACCAATATATATTTCTTATGTATCTTTTGAAATCTCTCCAGAATAAAACAAATACATGTATTTTTCCCTTTTTTCTCTTTTCAGAAATAATAGCATACTATATATACTATTATGCAACTTGGCTTTTTCACTTGACAATAGATCTTGGAGATCTTTCATATCACTTCACAAAAAGTTTTCTCATTTTCTTTGCTACTGCTGCTTCTCCAATTGTATGGACATACCATAATTTCTCTGAGACATTTCTTTTTCATGAGTATTCATATTTCTTCAAGTCTTTTGCAACTGCAAAAGCAAAATAACCTATTTCTATGCCATTTTATACCTATGTGAGCATATATTTTGGATAATTCCTATTGTAAATTTATTAGGTCAAAAAAATTTTTTTGTTTGTTATTGAAAAATTAAACTCCAGAAAAGATTCTAAATCTCTTTCTTTTTTGACCCATATTTTCTTTTAAAATGTGTGATAGTAAATTTTATGTGTCAACTTGATAGGATCAGGGGTGTCCAGATATCTGATTATTTCTGAGTGTGTCTGTGAAGGTGTCTATGGATGTATCTATGAAGAGTGTTTGAATTGCACTGAGTGGCATATGAATTGGTAGACTCAGTAAAGAATATTATACCCCCTTACCCCCAATGTGTGTATCATCTACTCCATTAAGGTCCTGGATAGAACAAAAAGGTGGAGGAAGGAAGAAATTGCCTCTTTTTTTTCCTGCCTCATTACTTCATTTGGGACATCTCTTCCCATCTTTTCTTACTTTCTCACTGGGATTTATATCACTGGCTCTCGTAGTTCTCAGACTTTCAGACCTGCATTGAATTAAACTACTAGTTTTCCTGGGTCTCCAGCTTATAGATGGCAGATCTTGGGACTTCACAGCCTCCAGAATTGTGTAAGCCAACTCATCAGAATGTTTCCTTTTATATCCTATTGGTTTTATTTCTCTGAAGAACCCTGACTTATACAGAATTTATTAAAATAAATATACTATATATTATATATACTATATATATTGTGCACACACACACACACACACACACACCTTTATTTCCAGAGAAAAATAGCAGGATCACAGAATTCTCTCAATAAATCAATAAGACACAGAAACAGCACAGGCACATGTGGTCATCAAACTAGAGAGGAGCAACATTTTTCTTTATGTTTTTTGGAAAACATCATTCAGAGACAGAAGTTTGTAGAAATCCTTAAGAGATCTTCACCTGCTTTCTCAGAAGCAGTGTTTGTCATTTCTCCTTTCATCCACTACACAAAGACATACTGAGTGCCCGCTATGTGCTAGAATACTAAACCTGCAATAGATTTTCAGGTGCGAGAGTGAGAGAGAAGAAAAAAAGCAAGTGGAAGATGTTGAGACAAAATTCTAATCTGTGATTAACACATCTACTTTAGAACCGAGCGGAATTGACGGTGAGGGGTGTGTGAGGAGGCAGCCCGAAAGGAAAGACACGGAAAGCTGCTCTAGAGTGGAAGTCCTGCTCCTCACAACAGGTAAGCTGTGAATCAGTGAAAGCCAGACACAGTGTCAATCATACTGTCTTATTTTTCTCTTGTTGAGAAGAAGGTAGAAGAGAAATTGGGGTTTAATAAGGGAAAATTATCTCTAAATAAAAGAAGTCTTGACAACTAGTGTGAAAAAAGAAAGAAGAAGAAAATAAATTTAAAACTTCTGGAGACAGAGGCTTCTAGGTTAAGTGTCTGCATATGCTCAGGACATGATCCAGGAGTCCCGGGACCGAGCCCTGCATCAGGCTCCCTGCTCATCTGGGAGCCTGCTCCCTCTCCCTCTGCCCTTCACCTGACTCGTACTCAATCTCTCTCTCTCTCTCTCTCAAATAAATAAATAAAATATTAAAAACAAAAAACTTCTGGAGACATAGGTGGTACATGGAAAGTCCCTTGTAAAACCATTCTCTGCCTTAGCCTGAACTGGAAGAAGCCTTACGTTTTGCACTTTACCTCTGGTTAAGAGAAAAGTTTGGGATGTGGCTGGTGGATAATGGGCAGCGCAATACTCCTTCAGGGCTAACAGTTTCTGGCAGTATCAAAAGTACCAAAAAAACCACAGTGAAGATACATAATCAGGAAATAGAGGCTTTCCCCTCCCCTCAGTGCCCCTGCTCTAACTACAACAGAGGAATGAACTCTGGTGCAGTTCTTTCAACACAATCATAGATGTGAATGCGAAGATGAAAATCTACCAAATTCACCAATTGTTCCTGTGCCTATATAGGGGAACTTCCAAATCAGACAACAGAAAGGCAGAATACAGAATACAAAAAAGTTGAAGCCAAGGCATTAAGCTGGTTAATATAAATGAGACAAGATGATCAATTTCTTTGTTAAGCACAAAATGCAGTAGAGTCATGGACATTTATTCATTTTATCCTATAGACAAAAG